AACATTAACTTATGACTATCTTAGCGCTAAGAGAGCTTTGAAAATCTAGGCCCTGGTCCTGTTATAACCCAATTGCACTATTAGATCTATCCTCATGCTGTTGATCACTGGATTGTCTAGTCTGGATTATTTACGACCGCCGCCATGTAGCTGGAATATTGCTGAGTGCAGCGTTAAACAAAATACAAACAGAAGTTAGTTGTAACTCTATGGCATATGTTAAACAGAAAACTTAAACTTTTTCATTTGTGGGGGCGGTGGGGTAACCTAATGGTTAAAGTGTCCACTCGTCACACTGAAGACCCAGGTTCAATTCCCTACATGGGTTCAATGTGTGAAGCCCATTTCTGGTGTCCCCCACGGTGATACTGCTGAAATATTGGTAAAAGTGGCGTAAAGCCATACCCACTCACTCACTCACCCACACTTACTCTTTATTTGTGAATTTTTACTGACATATGCTACAGAACTGGATCTGAATACCTGCCTCTGAGCATGTCAAGATAAATCACATTATCCTACACAACCACGCTCCCCACACACCACCAGCAGGCTTTAATTAAAACTGACCAGTAAAGCTGTTCTAATGCTCAGTAATTCAGCAGGACAATGCATGAACCACAAACATCAATCACAGTTTCACCAACAGAATTGTTGAGAGAATGTTTCTGAATGAAGTTACACATCCCTTACTCAATTACGCAATGGTAATTCTTTTTGTGACCAAAATGGAGAGAGACGAACCCCTTTTGAAACTGAAAACATGTTCCTGAACAAAAGTAACTGAGTGGTTTGGTTTCAGACCAAATTTACAGTATTCCAATAAAATAACTGTGGCATCTTAATCTATCAGAAAGCCGAAAGGTCTTAGACATTTTAACCACTTTGGTAAAAACCCACTGACATGGATATGGTGCAGACAAACCTAAAAACATAATGAGGGCAAAGTGGGATTCAAACCCACTATCACAAGTTCCAGGCACGCCTAAGGGACACAATTCTGTACAAAGAACTCCCCCTTTTAGACAACTGGGCCATTCATGCCCCCACCTTGAACAAGAAAAACCACTTAGGTGGGAATGTAAATATATCCGATTGAGGTGACCTTTTCAAATGTTGTTCACTGAGATGACAATCTTATACAGGTTACTGCTTGAGGCAATATAAAATGGAACAGTCATGTTTTAAGAATGTTGTGTGTAAAATGATTTTTTCACTTGGAAACCTGTTACACATTTTGTTTCACAATTATAATTGGTACATGTCTGCATTTTGAAAAGCTGAAAAGGCCCTCAAATTTAGAATAACACCATGTATCATGGCATGAACACTTTCTGGTATTTCATCTTGCGATCTACATTACTCATGAGATAGTCATCATTGTTTCAGGGCTAAACAGCTGGAGAATCACAGAGTAATGAAATCATTTACCACACACTTTAGTCGGGCTTACTTTGAACAGTACAGGACCATACATTTCATGTACCAGGAATATGGGATGACTTATATGTTCATGTTTGTTCCAGAAACATTATTTGTTTCACAAAAACTCATTTGTTTACTGGGCATGCTTATAGTGAAGAAAAGAGAGAAAAATATTAAATTGTTCAACCTTACACAAAAGTAAACTGTGTGTTTTAAAACAGAGACTGAAAAGTCTCTAACACAATTCCAAGCCACCACGACACCCAAGAATATTAAATGGTGGGATCCTGTACTTTATTACAGCTCATTATCGTTGTAAGAATGTCAAGAGATACACAAGTCTGAGATCTTTTAACACATTGCCAAACCTACAAATGTAACTGGCTGCAGATGACAATCATAATCAGAACACATCTAAACTCTATAAACAGCAGGTCCTGGCACCAAAGGGACATAACTCAACACAGAATAGCTTTAATGACTTGTCCACAGGGTCTCCTTACACAGCTATGAACATGTTCAATTTCTCAAAAAGACAATATGAAAACAACTCATAAGGTTCCATTAAAGCTAAGTGAAGGTCAATTCAAAATGAGATGTTCCAATTTCTCATATTATTTCACGGTTTTCTCAATGTTTTCAGAGCTATGATTCATACAGACACAAGATAAATCCATAAGCATAAAAAAATATTTGCCTTTAAACATGACCCTGATTTGTAGAAGCTTCATCAATCTCATTATCTCACTGATATTCTGTTTTCAGAAGGTATTGCAATTGAATCAACATGTATGGAAAGCACATGATATTGTAGACATCTATGGGCATTTCTGTGAGTTCACAAAAGCATAACTGCATGGCAATACTGTTTGACTTGCCATCAAATCTACATCAGAAAAAACAAAATGGTCAAATGGTTAGGATGCTGTGTCATACGCAAAACAACAGCTGGTTATCTGACCAGTTCATATGAACAGTATTTAAATCGATAATGGTTCATGAATATTCATACAAATACATTAAATACTGAAATTCTGCAACATTTTACTAAAAACTGAAAAAAGTGATTTAGAGTGCTTAAAGAACTATCACACATGTATGAAGGTACATATGTACGACAGTGAAAAGATTGTTTATTTCTAAAATAGCTAAAATAATACTATATCATTTTTAAAAATAGAATACACATTTTGTTTTCCAAATGGTCTTCAATATTTACACAACACTGATACTCTCTAAAGCATTGTTATCAACTTTCTAATTAAAATTCTAGGTGTCTATGTCAAAGGCAATATACATACAATAAACTGCGCTTCATATACCTTGTACTGTCTATAATGACAGTTCAACCATATGCAAATACATACAGTTTTGCAGCAGTACAATAGCTCCACCAACAGCTGTGACCTTCACCTCAAGCTACCCAGCTCACAACCGTACCTACCTTATACCATTTGAACCAGTAATGTCCGATCATACTCACAACAATCATGTCAAAATACAAAAGAGTTTTGCCACTCCGTAAATGACTTAAACAACTTGGTAATTCCAACCTCCCAACCTTCAAATGTGGGTCATCATTCACATAAAACAGAAGGTGACACTTTTAAAGTCATGCCTGACTGGTTTTCACCACAGAGAGCATGTATCACTGCAAATTTCAACCGTACACTCAAATTTACCAAAGATCCATGACTGGACTCGTACGTTGAACGCCTTCCGAGGGACAATGACCGTGACTTCCGACAGCATAATGCATGCATTGTTACTCCAACACTGGACAAAAACTAGATGAAGATCAACACTTTTGCCTTCGAACCCTTTATCAGGCTCCCATAAAGCAATAAATTTTATCACAGGCTCCCAACATCATTCCAGCATTCCCTAGAACAGGTGAGCCCCTGAAAATCAGCTTAGTACTATGTCACCAGTTGAACTCATCAATACATTGTAGTGGACAGCCAATGTACATTCAGTAATTACTGGTGTACCAACATTGCATGTATCATATGGGCGGAGGACTTCAAATGTAGGGTATTATGGCCTACTTATGTCCGACACGCTTCACTCTTTGAATAGAACATAGCATATGATTTATCATGCATGGACTTGCTGTTGGTTTGGTATATATTATTAGTACTAGGATTTATGTGTGATTATGACATGACAGCTATGTGTTCGACAAACAAAACCTATGTAAACCCTGCACATATATTGTGTCTCCCATACATATATTTGACAGGTATAGAAACTGACGCACCTTTCAAAATGTATATGATCAATATCACTCCTGTAACTAAATGTTAGTTTTTTCCCCTGTATACCGGGGTACTTCTCAACAAACAGTTGAAGGCATGAAAGCATTGGGTGTTTATGAAAACATGACTGGGCTTCAGTATTCATGAAGAATCTGAGCACACAAAGTGAGAAATCCCTAATCAATTAATTAATTGAATCATATAATTAATTAAATACAATTATACACAAAAACTGAAAATCAAATAATAGAAACTGTACAGATTCCCATAAAGAAAACTGAAAAAGTCAATGTATTAAACTAAATGCTGAAAAATATTGCAGATATCAATACAGGAAAAAACATCAAAACTAGTCAACTTCAAAAGTAAATACTCTCAAGAAAATACTCTGAACAACAGATAAGAAAATGCCAATGCCAAACTGAATATGAACAGAGGAAAATATATCACCGCACCAGTCAGTGTCAGTGAACGACATAAAAAGACAGACAGAGACCATATCCCTGTCGTACTCCACAAGTTAGCAGGTTAGCTCCAACATCAGGCATGCATCTACACTTGTTCAATAGAGTACCCTGCCAGAATCTGATAGCTTTTAGATTTAGTATTAAGATACTTTCAGTTCCACTTCATAATCACCCTGGATTGAACATGGAGCCGTTTGGCCTTCGTAGTTTTATAACTGAAGGTCACTGAGAGAGAGGTGTAAATTTCTGCTGTAAGCAAAATATATTATGTAGGTCTGTTAAAACATAGATACCAGTACTTATGATTTTCTTACAAAGATAAAGGAAACTTGTTTACATTTACATCATTAAATAATTAAATAGTGCAACAAATTATGACTTTCTAAAATAAATTAAACTGTAAATTAAAAATGTAAATTGTATATTTCTTCTCCTTTTATGCACTGTGGAAATAGTTTGATATTGAAAATGATTTAATCAGAATAATTATGTTCTTATTCTCCTAAAATCTTCTATGTAAAAATGTACAGTGATGCAACTGGATTTCAAGCAAAAACATGAAGTATGTAGATATTGATTAGGGGACAATTATGTAAACATATACAGGTTTTATCATGCTCTTGTTTTCCATAACTGGTATCAAATTGTAACAACAGAACAATGTCTATGAAGAAGCATATGAACATTCAACCTTTTTACAGGGCTTCAGTGGATGCATTCCTACAGAAAGATTCCGAAAGATGCAACAAAGATAAGATTTGACTTTAGCATGCAACTAACAACTGAATGTACAAGCTATCAGACTCTGACAGAATAAGACCCATGAAGGCAACTGGTCCCAAGCTGTTACCTTCTTTGTCACCCGTGGACGTGGACTAGGGCGTCGTAGGCGCGGTTTAGGAGGGATCGGGGGTGGGCCCCGGCGAGATGAGCCTTCAATGTCGGCTTCTCCACTCACGTTTAACGACACATTGTGAGGCAAGCTCTCAGCAGATAGCTAGTTCATATACAGTAAACAAAACACCACATCAACAACAACAATATTAATCTTGGAGCACAAGACTGGATGATGGATCAGAAATACAGTGATGATGGAGATGATTTCTTTGTCGATAAAAAAGCATCAGATTAATTTGTTTCAAAATGTCTTCAGTTTTGAAATTCAGAGATGTTAATGTCCTATAACTAAATTAATAGTTCATCATTAGAAATTTAATCATAATTTGACAGAAATGACGAACAAATATTACCTTTTCAAAACTGTCATTTTCGAACAACTTAAGAATTTGATATGATATTTGCCAAACCATATAAAAAAACTCATTTTGACAGAGGTACTGAGGAACAGACTCCTCAATACTTAAAACAATTCTTACATTTATTGTTTTTCTCATCTCTGTTTACATGCCATGGGATTTAATTAGCAAGAAAAAAATAATATTTCACAATGAAATTGACTGCAACATATCAACAAATTTTACTGAAAAGAATTTACTTCTGATCCAGCACATAAGTCTATGAAACTAGTGCTCACATATATACTATAATGCTAAAATGCAAAATCAAACTTCTACTTTTACACAAAAATGACATTTAATAGATAAAATTAAAAACATAACAAAATGTAAACAAACAGAAAATTTCACAAACACATAAAAACCTTTATATAATGTACATCAACCAAGTAAGTAACTGTGAAGTTGTGCTTGCAAGACAACTCATGCTATGTGCATTAAATCCACCAGTGCCTCTCATGGTGTATGTCATGTAAAAATACAACTTCCAAAATTCAAACTACAAAATCACTACATCAGAATGCATAAATTAGGTCTTTAATTTGCCAGTGATGGATATAGACAACTGCTAGCCTTAACTGCTGCTGTGTGTGCACTTACTGACTGCATGCAATGTGAATGAAATATACATCAAACAGCAACACAGAGACAGGTTAATATGATGATATACCATACACTACAGAGGTTATATACAAGTATATACACCACACATACCACGCTCTATGATGATGGTAACAATGCAGTTACTATGGAGACCAATACAACATGTTACAGGGAAGTACTACATTAAGGTCATACTACTATCATAAAAACTTCATTAATGATTTGGGAGAGGGCTTGAAAGGTTAGCTTTGTATCTCAAACACTTTTTATCAGGCTTTTTCATAAAAGAAAACAAATTGAGTGATGATTTAATGACACAGATTCCAAGAACAGATATATTTTAATTCAGTCCTGATAATAGCCCTCTGCCTAATTTTTGTATTTTAACCTAGCATGATTAAATGCTATGGGTTAAAGTGCAAAGTTGACAAGCATCATCATTTTGTGAATCTAAATTATCACAAGGCGAGACAAACACATATATTACTTTCTTGCCTACAATACACACTTGACTAGAATAGAATCCCTCTGCAGATACACAATTTTGGAATAAATGCAATCTTTTTATAAGAAATAATGCAGCCAAAATTTCAACTTTTTGCCTAATTACAGATTACACTAACTTTGGTCAAATTAATGTAGCGAGTGAAAAAGTTAAAAATAAATGTTATGTCACTTCGGGCAATGTTACAGCCAAATCGTGATGACTCAAATCAATGTAAATTTTTCAACATGATGAACTACAAACTAAATCTGAAGCTACTCTGACACTACCTGGTGATCTACAGCAAAGAAATAGAGGTGTTTAGGTCCTACTACAACTAGTACATTGAAGTCTATCATACTATTGTAAACTTCAGCCTGCAAGAACTATATATTGATTTGTCACTACAAGAAGCACGTAAATTTGGACTAAAAACAGTTGTCCAGGACACTGTACATGTGAGAAATTATCACAACAACCAAATCTAAGTTGCTTGTGAGATGCTTGTTTGTTATTTAATGCCGAACTTAGCAATATTGCAGCTATTTGACGGTAGCCAATTTCCTCTGGACAGAGAGTCCAGTGATTATACTTTGGGCAACTATGCAATTATGACATATCATCAACCAAGTCACACAGATGACCATCTGATTCATTAAGCCATGTCTAATGAGTTAGCAGAAGAACCTCGTGGTATGACCTGCAGAGGTTGTTTTTGGGACCTGTTTCAATCCCATACCTCATGGTATGACTTGCAGAGATTGCTGAGGACCTGTTTTAATCTTGAACCTCGTTGTATGACCTACAGAGGTTGTTTTGGACCTGTTTTAATCTCGAACCTCGTGGTATGACCTGCAGAGATTGCTGAGGACCTGTTTTAATCTTGAACCTCGTGGTATGACCTACAGAGGTTGTTTTGGACCTGTTTTAATCTCGAACCTCAAAAATGACCTACAGAGGTTGTTTTTGACCTGTTTCAATCCAGTACCTCATGGTATGACTTGCAGAGATTGCTGAGGACCTGTTTTAATCTTGAACCTTGTGGTATGACCTACAGAGGTTGTTTTGGACCTGTTTTAATCTCGAACCTCGTGGTATGACCTACAGAGGTTTTTTTTTTTACCTGTTTCAATCCAGTACCTCATGGTATGACTTGCAGAGATTGCTGAGGACCTGTTTTAATCTCGAACCTCGTGGTATGACCTACAGAGGTTGTTTTTTTTACCTGTTTCAATCCAGTACCTCATGGTATGACTTGCAGATTGCTGAGGACCTGTTTTAATCTCGAACCTCGTGGTATGACCTGCAGGGGTTGTTTTGGACCTGTTTTACTCTCAAACCTCATGGTATGTAGACCACGTAATAATGGTCAAGGGATTTAATTTTCAATAATTTAAACAATGTTTCATTCTTTAATTTTGATATGTTTTGTCAGGAAGGTAAATTCAAATCAGACTGATTTACAACTAGTTCACACACATTGGTGTCAAATATTATGACTTGAACAAAACCATTTATTGAACACGATAGCAGCTACTTCTTATTAGATTTAAACCAAGAGCCAACGGAATATTTCACTGAGAAGATGAAGGTTGGTAACAAAGTATCTCTGGGTGGCTGCCAATATCAACACCACTGACACATGCATGTGACACAACACAATAGACGTGCAACAAGAACAACAATGTTGTGCATCCCAACAGATAACATGATGTTAGCATGGTACATTACAGGAAAACCTAGAAATACCGCATAGAAGAAAATTGGAATTGAATCGATCTTCCACAAATTACTAAAGACATTGATTGGTAGGATTGAAAAGCAGGAGTTAATGTTTGGGTTTTAGTTTTAAATAGTCATCTGATAGGGGCATCAAGTCCACCTTTACAATCTGAACTGTGGCGCCACATTGTGGTATCCAAACTACAGTAGGCACCACATGCTGTGCTAACCATGTTCTCTATGAGTTAAATTACTCCTGGGATCTGTTTTTGTGTGAAATTCACCACAATCATTGTGTATCCGGTTATCTAGAGTAATGATAATCAGATTGTGCGCTTTGAGCATCCTTATGTTTGGAAATAGAAACGCACTGTTATTTATTATTATAATATGTTACTTTCCAGAAGGTGACTGATAGCCATAAAGTAATTCATGTGTTCAGTCAGTGTATGAAATAAGCCAAAACTCCAGCCAGACATCAGGGCTTGTAACTTCAAAATGTTACCAGCCCAAAATGGATTTAACGAGACCAAAAATGCTGAATTTACTCAGATGTATGGAACAGACCATAGGCTGACTAGCTGTAAATTTAGACCGTCCGTCAGATATCTAGACCGTCTCGGGCGGTCGGACCGGCCTTATTTCATACACTGGTACAGTCATATCGCTCCCCAATGCAATGCTGAATATCTGTCGTCTATAAGGCATAAAACCCTTCCTAGTCACTTTTTTAAGTTAATATACACATGTACTGTGTCTGTGGTGAGAGAAAATGGTTTTGTTAATCTACTCTACGCTGGGCACAAAATAGAAATCCATCAATCAGGACCACACCCAGCAATCACCCACATAATCAGCTTATGTCTTACAGCTTGTTCCATCGTCTTAACAACAGATACATTATTGACTTCCTTGTAATCCGGAGAGACAAATGGAGACTGATTTAGCATCAATGGCTACAAAACCTGGAGAAATACCAACAACAAGCACCATATTTTAACGGTTTTGGTATGACATGGCCAGGGACTATTCAACCACAAACCCACTGTCTGCAGAGATACTTTAGCTACTATGTCATGGAGGCTGTCTAATAACTTTCAGAAAACGTCACGACTTCATAGACAGGCGTATAAAATGTTCAAAAGGGTCAGAGAAGGTACCATTCATCTGCATGTAAAATCATATGTTTCATGTGCATATGGGATGTAAAACAACTGAACCCTTTTCCTAGTCAGTATTCACTGATTTAGAAATCACCATCCAGAGCCTTGTGAACTACAGCCTTGAGTTGCGTGACAGCATGGATTATGGTGTGTGTGTGTGTCCACAAATCTCCTTAACATCGTCATAAGTACAGTGATATCCTCTGCCTTCAGCCTAGTGTTGCTGCACACACACAAACTGGGTTTCTCCATACAGATGCATTACATTCAAACTCTATCAAAATCATTAATGTTGACAGTCCAGCTGAGCGTTACGTGACAAACAGAAACAAAAAGCCACGGTCTGATATATAAGCAAGCTAAATCTTCTTTTTTTTGTTCAGGCTGTTTGTACCTTAAAGCTCTAAACAGCAACATTTTTACAACCGTAAGACAGTGACCTATAAATAATAGTCAGAACCAAACAATCGAGTGATTGACATAGATAAAAATACTGCCCCTTCTTTCAGATTCTGACCCTTGTTTCCCTATAATTAACTCTTAAAGACTTTCCGCTTTACCGAACCCCAGCATCTACACTAATGGCGGGTTTGAGCTGATAAAACAGTCATTTTCTTCTGCATAAATTCACAGGGTTATTTCCTGGTAAAGCAAGAGCATGATTACACTGGATAATCAGAACAACACAGTACCAGTACTATGATCAACCTGGATGCAAACAAGCCATTATTATAGTCATCACTATTATTGTGTGCCATGAAGCAGATATATTCAGAACGAGCACCAATCAATCCATCCCATCATATTTCCAAATAGTATCTAGCCAACCATACATGATTCAGGGAAATCACACCTAAGAAAGTTTGTACTAAGCAACATGTTCAGCTGTTGTTATCTTTGTCTGTGTAATTCAATGGTCATGAACTACTGAAGGGAGACATCTGTGCATGAACTCTGTAAAAAGGGCAGCAGTAAAATCTCAGTTGTTTGTTTATCTTCTCAAAGTGTTTGCTTGTTTCTTGTTTGACACTGCATTCATCAATATGACAACCCAGCTATGTGACAACGGTTTGTAAACAATTCTGGATCAGACAATCCAGTGACTGGAAATATCATGACATGCATCAGCAAGCTAATTACATGTATAAGCAAGTCCCTCCATGTGCCCCCATCTTAACACAGATCTTCACAGGGTCACATCAATAAAATTACGTCCACATGACAATGGGTGCTACTTACATCAACATTTAGAATCAAACTTTATCTGTGCCAAATGCAATAAAGATGTCAAGAGGTAACTACCCTGTCAAATTTAATAATGAAAAATATCAACAGTTTTATATTCAGACAAAAAACTATTTCCCTTCAGTAATGAAAAGATGAACGAATCAAGTTTCACTCAATCATCAGGAATAGTTCAACACAGCAAATAATCATTCACCCTGCATGTGTGGCCAGTGAATGTACTTTTAAGTGGACTAACATGAGTTGATGGCATAATTCAAGTCCATCATGAGGATTTCTCTCATTGTAGCTAAAGGTGTGGTGTGTACTTTGAACAGTACTTCAGCTGTATTACTTTCTGTGGGAGACAAGCCAGAAGTGATACAAGTCTTTGTCACCACTTTGGTTACAGCTATAATCATTTGTGGCAAATCTGAATTCGATTCTTCAGTCTTTTTTGTGTGAGAAGGGGACACAACTCTGAGCAGAACTACAGTGCTGAAGACAACTGGCTGCTCCATACTGTCAAGGTGTCATGTAACTGTAAGGACCTAGTATTTGATGGTCAGCTAAGTTGATTTGTTTTACTTCACAAGCTACATTTAATTTCAAATGGGTCAATAATTTAGTATTGGGGTCATTCACTACAAGCTATGTTAATGATGTCAGTGAATAGCATGGCAGCGTTAGACAGGTGCTGAAGACAAACATGCAGCAGATCAGAGAAGTATATCGGCTGACCCACTCATCAAATATGACAGCAACTTTGAAACCTTATTACATATACCCCTTGACAACAATCCCCTCAACATTCATAATCAACTCATTTCCCCAGGTCCAATTTACACAAATGCACATATTTGATGAGTGTTTTAGCCATCACAGTTAATCAACCACTATATGTATATTAAGCATATGATCCACAACCCATGAACAGATAAAACTGTGCCCCATATGTCAGTGAACTGAACACAATTCTGAAAAATAAGTTTGTAAGTTTTCATCAAACGATTCTGACAATACATGTACCTGATCTGAATCCAATTCAAATTGCTTGTCCGGGCTCTCCGGTACTATATCAACAGCGATATCCATAGCACCATGTGATTCTGTCCTTGGCGGAACAGGAGGAGCGTCTTCATCTTTAAACTGGAACAGTTCTGCATTGGCTATGCCCATATCAACACCAAGAGTAGCTTCTTCATATGAGGGCAACGGTGCCATGACCTCTCGGGATAATGGCGCCATAACTTCATGAGTTTTTACCGACTGCACAGCCTCGAAATGTTCTTGCGTGATATCGCTGGAAACTGGTTCCACGCTTTCGTACTGAAGTCTCTTCACATGAGGCTCCACGTGCTCATAGCTTACGCGAGTGTCAACACTACCTAAGGCTTGGTCATAGCAAGGTGGGGAGTCCTCTTTGGGAGGTGACTTAATCGGGGAGGTCTTTTTGGGAGAGGTTTTTCGGAATATTTTCAATTCATCATCACTCTCGTAAAAACTGTCTTTTCGTTGCGTCCCGATTTTTGTGCCTATTTCTCCAGAGGAAGAGGAAACGGATCTGTTTACTGTTGTTTCCTGGGGAAGCATTGTGATTGTTGTGGAATCGGCCAGCTGGTCCGTGAAATTTGTCCCCCGGGCAGATTGTGGCAGATCAGAAAGGGCGGGTGCAGTTAGCAATGGAGGCTGCAGAGTCGGAAAATAACATTGTGACCAGATAATAACCGTACACTTAGCCTACAGAAGCTTGGCCTCACAACAGAGTATAACAGTCATAGTCACCATCTGGTTATACAGCATGTTGATGTAATTGCCGAATCATCTGAAATTTGCTTCCACAGTTATTTCTAAAACAATAATATTCATATTAATAGTAGGGCTACCACAATCTGTAGCTGACTTGTAGATACACTTTAGATAATGACTTGACTTTGGAAACGTTGAGTCTTGGAACAATAAAAGACACAAACATAACACTATTACACGCTCAAGAGCTTACATGAACTCATCTTCCTCTGTTGTGAGTACAGTGTACAGATCTGTACACTCAAGATTCTGGACGGCCAATAGAAACTGAGACAAAGACACAACTAGGATCTCCAAATCCATGTTTGTCTTTCTGTCAGTTTTGCATACCAAACCAAACATAAGAAAGATAGAAATTGCAGAAATAAAATAAAGCAATTCTCAGAAGTTCATGCTCTGAGATCATCAGTCACACCTTGCCATAATGCCCAAACAATGCATAGAGATTTGTAAACTTGCAAAAATGAAATAAATAGCAAAACATTTAAATTGACGTAACCAAATTTACATAAATTTTGTTCGTGACAATGATTACCATAGAAAAAATAATTCAAGATTACTTCATGAGACAAACGTAACAAGAGAATACTGGAACACCATTCATTTGAGCAAGTTTACAAACTGGTTATTATAAACATTTTCCACTAAATGCACAAGAAACCATTGACATAACAAAGATGAAGATACCATTGATAGCAGAAGGATATGAAAGGCGAAGATACTACCAGATACTGCATGACGTGTGTACTGATGATATGGTAAACTTCTTGTGATAAAGATAAAGAGATACACTATTCAAAATAAGTTAAAGAACAGACAATATTTCAAACAATCAGCAGTTCTTTAACTTGTTTCGAGTAGTATCCTTGCATGTGATGATGAGAATGAGAATCAGGAATTGTGAATTTGTGAGGATATATTTCTAATGTGATGAAGAATTTGTGATGAAGAAAGATTTTGAGGTGATGCAGGTGTCATGTTATCTTACACACCATTCACTACACATATATCCTTGGAGAACATGTCCAACATCCTCTTGTTTGTTTGAAACATGAAATGGGCAAGGGAGATAAGGGAGGTAACTCTGCAAGCCTTGCCCTTCTTGTTGAAACTTCAATAAAGGAGTAGCTGTAGTAATTTGCTAAATATGATCTTAAGCATTGTATATTTCATTGTACTGTTTGTATTCAGTGTATTAATATTTCACCTACATGTGTATATTTGTTTGTAATGTATGTGTTTTTAAAGAGAATAATAAGATCTCGTTTCTGGATAGTATATTTGAAAGATAGTTTCAGGAAACAGACTCCTTGACTTAACACAGCCTCTGAATACAGAAAGGCACCCATTAATTCAGACTGTAAATAATAAAGGCTGACACTTACCTGAATGTTATCTCTCATAAAACTCGGGATTAATTAGAAGGGAATAAACACATGCTCATTCTCCAAGCAATATCATTTAACTGTTACTGTCACATGACAGGATTAATGAGTCACATGACTGGATTAATGGTCACATGACAGATCAGTGATCTCATGCCCACATTACCTGATTCTCCCCCCTAAAGTTGTCAGCCAGGGGCAGTGGTTTCGCTACCCCAATTCGAACCACGCCTTTTCCTGCGCCTTTCAGAGCCTGTACTGCCTCATCCAATGTGGCGTGCTCTACGTTGATGTCGTTGACAAAGATGAGACGGTCACCTGGCACCAGTCGTCCATCTAGTTGAGCAACACCTTTCGGCACCAAGCTTCGTATCACAATGACAGTCTCGTTAGGATTCACAGGGTCCTGATGAATATAGAAACTCAAGCTTATTGTCACATGTATATTAAATAAAAGAGCTGATGCCAAGAGTTTGGTTTTATTGTCATTTGTAAAATTATTTCATGTGTATATTGTTTAATGCCAGTGTCTGACACAATATCATTATGTGTATGGGAATTAGCAAACCACTGTCTAACACCATTACATTGATTGTATGTGAACTAGCATACCACTGGTTACCCAGTAACATCAGTTGTATGGGAACTAGTTTACCACTGTCTTACACAATAACATCAGTTGTATGGGAACTAACATCAGTTGTATGGGAACTAGCATACCACTGTCTTACACAATAACATCAGTTGTATGGGAACTAGGTGTCTAACACATTAACATCAGTTGTATGGGAAGTAGCATCACACTGTATAACACACAGACCTACCTGGTAGTCTAGAATACTGAATCCCAGTCCCTTATCTTCCTTCAGGAGTTCAATAACAACTGGCTCGCTGCTCCACATTGCCAGATTTGTCAACGGCTCTAGTGAACGAGACTTGCTTTTGTTGAGCGAATTTAGAACAGCAGTATCCGTTGATGACAGTGCCATTTCCGACTTGGCTTTGACCAATCGTTCACTTGCTGGAAAGTTTGTATGGACCCCTGTGTTGAACACACTGCTGAGAAATTGGGCGTCCTTATGTGCATAGGTTTCAGTGGTTTGAGTCTTGCGTCTGGCGCACACCAGACGGACATGCTGAGGCAAATCCTTGAGAATGTTGACCACCTCCACATGATTCAAACCAAGCAGCCGTTTACCATTCACCTGTAACAATGAAATAAATTTGTTAGATGAATTTAAACAGTACTAAGGAATTATGAAATAACAAATGTTTGCCACTAATATGACAATGTCCCCTGCTGCTAAAGAAGAATGAATATTTATAACATATTTACTACTTTATATTTTTTGGTCTTATACAAGATGCCTGAAGTGATTGGTGTCTGTATAATCACCTAATGTAGGCTGTCGACATAATTGAAGACATTGGGTGCAATGTTGTATGAGACATCGCGTTTACAGTCGTGGCGACCTTGAAGATAAGGTCAAGGTCACCCAAATCAACTGGTGTCTGCATAATCCCCCAATGTAGGCTGTCACCAAATTTGAAGACATTGGGTACAACAGTGCATGAGATATCACGTTAACAAGTTTGAAAAGTGTTCTGTTCTGTGAAAATAAGGTCAAGGACACCAAAATCGAATGATGTCTGCGTAATCCCCAAATGTAAGCTGTCACCAAATTTGAAGACATTTGGTACAACAATTCATGAGATATCGCGTTAACAATAATCGCGACATATGTACGTACAGACGCTGCTGATAACATAGTCCTCTGTTCCGCGTTGTGGCAGGGGACAAAAATAGCTAAATCTATCTGGCATTTAACCAACAAATCTGTCTCCTTGGTTCTGAAGCATCAGAGAGAGTCCTTCATTTTTTTCAGAAAAAGGGCTAGTTGTAGTCATGCAAAGTAACTACACCAATATTAAATGTGTTTTTTTTGTATGGGCACGTAATCTGAAAACTGTCTGGCTGAATCTGGGTGGTGCCTACCTCCAGTAGCTCGTCCGCACTGATGAGGTGACCATTGAGGCCGACAGGGCCGTCCGGCAAAATTGAGCGTATGTAGTGATGCGGTCGAACTTCCACTCCGTTCTCCACATCGACAGTCCCCTCCAAACTGATACCCAGGCCACCTCCTTCCTTGAACTTGGACAGCTGGGCGACCTGCGCATTCACAAAACAGTTTACATTTTCAGCTTATCTAAGGGAGGGTACACTGTTCTGCAAACCTGTTGTTGGGCAATTTGAAGTCACAAGCATTCATAACACAAGTTTCTGGTATGTCTAAGGGAGACAACTCTGCTTGGCAAACCTGTTGCTGGGTAACATGTAGAGTGACAAGCAATCTTAACCCAAGTTTCCTAGTCTTAACAGTATTCCACATATAATCCAATCCCATTAAAATAAAATGTTTATCTCCGATATGATACCTGCCAGTACAAGACACCTCTATAGAGTAAGTGAGTGAGTTAGTTTAGTTTTACGCTGCTTTTAGCAATATTCCAGTAATATCACGGCAGGGAACTCCAGAAATGGCTTCACACATTGTAACTATGTGGGGAATCGAACCCGGGTCTTTGGCATGTCGAGCGAACTCTTTAACCACTTGGCTACCCCACCACCCCTTCCTCCATAGAAGGTTGAGACAGGCAAACCCCCAGATTGATCCATGTGAAGGAGCCAGTCTGAGGTTCTAAAATGATTCTGCTTCATTTGTTCAACATTGATAATTAATCCTTTTGTTTGTATACACCATGTCACTCCATAACTACAGTATGCATCAAATATCCATATCAACATGGTAACCTCTCTCTTGGATTCCAGACTCCTCGAATAAAAACCGTTACAAGATACACAAATCAGATATGTTTGTCTGAATGGTCAGCTCACTCATCCTGAAAATTTCCAAGCTCCAATGCTGATTACAAAATTAACCTGATGAGACCTACTCTGGATCTCATTTGGGAGATATCCCATAAAAAATAGAATTCAATAAGAATGCATTTCAGTCAAACACAAGATCTGACAAACCCTTGATCATAATCATGGCGTATCAAGGATTCGAACCCATTATAGTTGGATCAGAAAACATCTATGATTGTAAACATTGTATGTCAAACTGTGGCTCCTTAGTTCATTAATATTTATGTTTAGTTTTTAGTCTCATTTGGTAACTAGTTTTTGACAAAGCCACAATAAAATCAATGCTATTGCTAAGATAAATAAATGTGACCTAGAACAAAAGGTATTTGCTTTTTCATTAATTTGCATACAAACATCTCTCAATGTATTAATTCATTCCTGAACCATCAATTTTTTTTCTAAACACATATCATGACATAAAATCCCTGAGACATTGCACATGAATAATCATCTATGATATATTTGAGACAAACAATAAAGCCAAATGATTATTATTCACATGAACTTTTAGATTACATTATTGAACCAAGTAAGCTCAATAACAACTCCAGACTATCTAAACAGACCTATTTCATAAGAAACTAGTCCTACTGCTAGACATCAAATCATATTTCAAAGACTGGAATCAATGAGAAGCATCTTGTGTCATAGAAATCACACAGCCAAGCAGCTAATCCTACTTCTAAATACCAAATCATGTTTGAAACATTGGAATCACTGTGAAGCACCAAGTGTTATTCCAAGCAACAGATCCTGAAGATGATCAAACTGTCTCTGTACATAATAAGGGAGATATTGATCAGGACTGTGTAGGTACCCATCTGTCAAGTGATGGAGGTCTCACCATCCAATAATGACAGCAATTTACACCATCTTCCCTATTTTTTAACCCATCGATTAGCTGTGAATCAGGAATGACATGACGGGCTGCGCCTTTTAAGGAGACGTAATGTATATGATTACCACAGGAAGAAGAAGACATTACACGGGAACATGGAACCGCTGATGATACAAGCGGTACGCTGTCGATAAATTATCCCATCATAATGTCATCGCCTTTTGGAGAGTGCAAGCATGGCCTTAGAATTCTTTACATCGATGAACTGAAGTTTTTATGAAGGAAAGATATTGATCTGCTTATCAAATCATTTGCAGAAATTGATCTCTCAGCAAGCAATATTCTGTGTGTAACAAACTGAGCAGGAGGTGGGTATCCTCAACTGTAATCCTGGGGGTGAGGACAATGTGTGTTATGCAAACAGTTCAGCGTAATGGAAGGGTGAGCCTTTGTTGGAGATGAACGAACCCTCTCCAATTCGGTCTTCGACATAGAGAATAATTGTCCTGAGTAAACGTGTAAAAGAATACGTTGAAAACATGGCCGCTGGTGTGTTTGAGTTTGGTTAAATGATGCAATCAGCTAGCATCTTGAAATGTACATGTTTCAATCGTGCAGTATTGATAAGTACATAGGATCAGCTTGGAAAAGCAATTCAACTGAGACTCTGTTAAATGCAAAATTCCAAATTAACGGAAAATCCATGATGTAGCCTGAAAGAATGCTGTTTCTCTTTGGGTAGTGGTAGCAATCTATTTGTAACTCTGTCAGCCGTTTGGCTTTTATACTGATCAAACCTTTTCATCATTGGTAAAATAAATGAAAACGCCAATGGTACGATAGTACTGTCTTGATTAAAGATCTACAGATATTTCCATAAAAGGGTCTGGCAAACAGGGACCCATTTCCAGTGTCAGCCTACGGAAGAGATAATGAAACTAAAGCTACTTGTCTGTATGGAATCATTGAGACGAAAATTCAGCTTTTTCACACATTTCCAATTCCAGTTAGAGGTGTATCCAAAACAGAATCATCTATTCCTCAAAGGTCATCAGTTCATGGTCAAGGTCACATCACATCCATCTTAGTGGATAGTGAGTGAGGGTTTGGTTTTACAACACCTTAATGTATATTTCTGCCATATCACAGCAGAGTATATGTGAATCAGTCCAGATGGTCTTCCAAGTGACCAGATAAATCCTATCCCAGTTAGTTACCTCACTGCCCACTCCCGCCATCCTGAGACGGAGTGGAAGGGTTAGTTCCTTGTTTCAGTCACAAGGAAGTACATCTGGATTGTGAATGTATATTCATGAACCATACCAGACTGTTATGTATTGTATGTACAAATCTTGTAAACTGGAAAATTGTGTAATAACCTTGATTTTGGCAGCAGGGGCTCATTTCTCAAAACAATCAACTGAAATAACTGCAACATATCCAGGATAAAAATAAGGGGCAGAAACAAGAGGGTTAATCAAATGTGCCAGAAACTGATGTCATAGGTAAGTGAACTCCAGAGCAGGATAAACAAATAAGAAGGAGCACCTTAACCTATTAGATGGATAAGACCCGATATGTGTGCACTTACAACCACTTCGAAGTCGCTGCCGATGAGCGGTTCCCAGCATGCCTTGATGGCGGCCTCCACGTCAGGCAGAAGCTCTCCACCTGGAAGAAAGAACAGTACACCTGTCATTGTCATCACTGTGGTAGTTTGTGGTTCTACTTCATGGCAATATCATCTAACAGACTCCTTCCAGAACTTCATTATTTGTGTGTCTGTGATGGAGATGAGTGTTTATGTAGAGTTCCAGCTTCACCACTGTTGCACACAGTAGTTTAAATGTGAAAACAGTGTTACCTCAGATCATGAGGGAATTGGTTGGAATTAACACTGCATAACCGTATCTCAGTTACCACATCAAGTAGACGTAGCTCTTACATATATTATGTATAATTCAGTCTTGTCACAATGTGTCTAAAATATTACCAAATTAGTCATTATGGCCATGAAAGCTCCACGTAGGGCCTCACGTAGTGCATGGCCTCCTGATTGCCATGTTAGGCTACACATAATGCACGGCCTGTTGATCCCTATGTAGGCCACACTCAGTACATGGTCTCATGATGACCTCATGTAAGGCCACATTTCGTGCATGGCCTCCTGAACCCCAGGAAAGGCCTCACGTAATGCAATGCCACACCCAACAAATAGCTACAACCCAACTAAACCCAACAAATAGTTCCAATAAGAATATAAGTGCTCCATCATCAGTTACTTCAACATGCCTGCTAACATAATTTACACATATGATTGAAGACAAATGTTCTAGGGAAGCAACTTCACACAGCAAACTGGAGCACCTTGGACAAGTGGACTACCCATGCCTCCAGATTATAACAATTACGAGACAAATCAACAATGACCAATAGATCAATACCATGACAGTTCATCATTCTCAGCTTTCTGCAGTTCACATATTCCTTGAAGCATCTAAAATTTTATGGAAGTATTTTTCATTATTTTAATTATAAACAGATCATATTTGTTTGTTATAATCATGTTTCAATGGCCTTTGGTGTGTTATAAATCATTTTACTACAACCTGACATCTGCATAATCTGACATTGTCATTTATTTCTGTTTGTCAATAATCTACAATTCTTCCAACCAGGGTGAAATTAGTAACAATTGCTCCATGTAAATTACACCCCAGGCCATTGACCATTCAATGAAATGAAATATTTGTCATTGCCGTGACAACAAAACATTTTCTTTCATACACCACCGATTCAGTTCATTACCAGTCTGCCAGTCCGTGACAGCTGTACCAGCTACACAATGCAGCAATTATTTATCAAACATGTCCATATCCATGACATGCTGTTCGAGATATTGACAAAAGTGCAGAGATTGGCAGTCTCCAGGTGCATGTCACAAGAGATCTGCTGATCACCCAGAATGGAGAGTCCTTAGCCTGAGGGATCATAATCAGATTTATGAAATTAGTATAATCAGCATCCCAAACCTTCATCTCACATCCCACTTGCACCATCAGCACCAACACCAACATCATCAGCACCAACACCAACATCATCATCAACCACTGATTACTGTTTCCATGATAAATACCTCGCATTGTAATTAAGCGCTGAATCCTTTCTCAGAATATCAAAATGAATCATTATCAGAGGACTAATATTTGGGGATGAAACAATAGCATTTGAATTGATGTTGATAAGAAACATCCATGCCCAAGAATAACAAGTCTCGATTACCTGATGAGTAAATTCCACAGGGAGTAAACGGCAAAATAGCAATGAAAATTATGAATGGATCACTCAAAATCTTTGAGGACAACAGGTGTTTGCGAAAAGAAGGAAATGTCTTGCCCTATAGGAGAAATGAGAAATGCTGTTCACACATTAACTCGGATCAGGAATTTACCTAGGCCATTACAAGCACATGCTTCAACAACTAGCTTCAGTCCCCTATTTCTGATCTGGGATGACCTAAACTCACAGTGCTAGTAATGATAATCAAGTGACCAAGCAAGCACCTGTTTGGCTTCTGACTGATGCTTGCTACATTGGGCATGTGAGACCATGTGGAGCATAACTGGGACTGCCATTAGTCACTGATTTGGGCAAAATGGTAACATTATCTACAAGGATTTTAACTGTACACAACAATAGACCAGAAGGCTGAATCCACTATCTTCTGAGCATTCATCATAGGGAATTGATTACTATCCCTGAAGGAACATTCATCACAAGAGACTGAACCCACTATCTTCTGAAGGAACATTCATCATAACTAGACTGTACCCACTATCTTCTGAAGGAACATTCATCATAAGAGACTGAACCCACTATCTTCTGAAGGAACATTCATCATAAGAGAGGAAGGAACAATCATCATAAGGAGACTGAACCCACTTTCTTCTGAAGGAACATGAGGAGGGAGGCTGAACCCACTTCAAGGAATCTGAAGAGAACATTCATCATATAAGAGACTGAATTCACTTAACATGAGGAAAGAGCAAGAGAGAACATTCGGCAAGAGAACTTGGCAAGAGAAACATTCAACATAGGATGTGTGCAACAACTGCAGTCCCATCAGAGACACTGGACATATTCCTGATGTTGGGACATTGGTAATAGAAAGCCATGTGTCGAAGAACATGACCCTGATACTTGACAATCTCCATAAAACATGAGGTTAACTAGTGAAGGTTGCCTTGCCACAATTCTTCAATTTACTTCCATTTCCAACATGAGAGGCTTTCCATTAAGTGGGAGGAGAGTGGCGGCTTTTACAGACTTTCACCAATTTGCCAGTGTTATCTCATTAGTCTGCTGGGACTAAGGTCAAGCCTGCATAGAGTAGAAAAATCCATGAGGGTCTGATGCCGGCTATCTTGTCTTTGTACCATGACCACACACCAGAGAAGTCAGACAGACTATCCAGACTTTGTACCTTCAGTATGACCACTCACCAGGGTTGCCAGACAGGTTGTCCAGACATTGGGTCCTGAGTGTCATCACACACCAGGGCAGCCAGACAGGTTGTCCAGACATTGGATCCTGAGTGTCATCACACACCTCTGCAGCCAGACAGGTTGTCCAGACATTGGGTCCTGAGTGTCATCACACACCACGGCAGCCAGACAGGTTGTCCAGACATTGGGTCCTGAGTGTCATCACACACCAGGGCAGCCAGACAGGTTGTCCAGACATTGGGTCCTGAGTGTCACCACACACCACGGCAGCCAGACAGGTTGTCCAGACATTGGGTCCTGAATATCACCACTCACCGGGGCAGTCAGACAGGTTGTCCAGACATTGGGTCCTGAGTGTCATCACAGCACAGGTTGTCCAGCAGGGTCCTGAGTGTCATCAGACAGGTTGTCCAGACATTGGGTCCTGAGTGTCATCACACACCAGGGGCAGCCAGACAGGTTGTCCAGACATTGGGTCCTGAGAGTCAGGGTTGTCCAGACATTGGGTCCTGAGTGTCATCACACACCACTGGCAGCCAGACAGGTTGTCCAGACACCTGAATATCACACACACCAGGGCAGCCAGACAGGTTGTCCAGACTTTCCTACCCTGTCCCACCAGACATTGTCCAGACTCCTTAGTGTCATCACACACCAGGGCAGCCAGACAGGTTGTCCAGACATTGGGTCCTGAGTGTCATCACACACCAGGGCAGCCAGACAGGTTGTCCAGACATTGGATCCTGAGTGTCATCACACACCAGGGCAGCCAGACAGGTTGTCCAGACAGTGGATCCTGAGTGTCATCACACACCGCTGCAGCCAGACAGGTTGTCCAGACATTGGATCCTGAGTGTCATCACACACCGCTGCAGCCAGACAGGTTGTCGAGACATTGGGTCCTGAATGTCATCAGGCACCACCAGGGCAGCCAGACAGGTTGTCCAGACATTGGATCCTGAGTGTCATCACACACCAGGGCAGCCAGACAGGTTGTCCCAGACATTGGGTCCTGAGTGTCATCACACACCAGGGCAGCCAGACAGGTTGTCCAGACTTTCTACCCTGAATATCACCACTCATGCAGTCCAGACTTTCTACCCTGGTACCCACTGAGTATGGGTGATTGAGTTTAGTTTCATGCTGCTTTTAGCATTATTTAAGCAGTATTATGGCAGGGGACACCAGAATGTACTCGAGTCAGGCTAGGCTGTCTTGCCTTTGTACCCTTATTTTGAGTATACACCACAGGAGCCAAACAGGCCATTTCCATGTTGTATTGAGTGGACGTCACATGCACTGACCAGACGTTAGTGCTCATATTGACCAGACATCTGGTGTATCTTCTACATCTTGTGAATCAGATTTCCACTTACAATTCTATTTCACTGAAATAAGAATTTTAAAATAATTTATCAAACTTTACAGAATCTGTTCTGAAAGTTGAGATGAGACATTAATACCAGTTTCAACTAATTCCTTTTGGAAAAGCATCCATGATGAAATGTTTGAACTGCCTGAAGGAGAATCAAGACTTGATTACTTGTAATGAAATCTGCTCAAGACACATTCCTCATCGATCACTTCTTGTAATAACATATCCTCCTAATATCAAAATGATGGAAAAAATGCATTGTAGGGATGATGTTTTTAATGCATTGTAAGTTTTTAGCTGGATATTGGGTCTTTTTGTTGCCGTTGTTTCATCAATATACAAGAGGTTGACATTTAGAAAAAGTTGCAATTCCATCCAAGTCCAAGGAAAGCATGAAGCTGCTGTCTCTATAGGATACGGCAGTCTCCACAAATATTAGTCATCAACTTTCAACATCATGACAAACACAGCTAACACAATTAGTCCACATACAAAACTTGATTCCTGTGTCATCTGTGTACATTCGTTTCCTTTGGAATCCATTTGAATCCCCATTCTTTTTTTAAACCAACCTGATAACAATTGTAAATGAAATATACAAAACAAGAGAATAACCTGTCTCAAGGAATAGCTGCCAAAACAGATTCCGTTGGTCATTAAAGGCAAAATAGTGGTGAAAATAATAAGAATTGATCACTGAAAATCACCCCTGACAATAGGTGTTTGCTCACATACAGACATTCACAGCAAAGAATTCAAAGCACCTACAGAAACAAGAAAAGGAAGCTTAA